CAACGATTGTTCGAACAAGACGGCCAAGGTAGATGCAATGACCGGCGCCAGCTCCTTCAGCACCATGGGATGCAGTCCATCCGGACCCGGTGACTAGTACGGTTTCAGAGCCGGCAGTGCATCACACACCTTGTTGACCGAGATGGCTTGCCAAGACGGCAAAGGCGCAGAGCACGACAGTGGGGGTGGGTGGGTCGGTGATGCATCGGTGGCGTAGACAGATGCACAGTGTTGCGCAAAAGCTTCCGCCTTGTCAACATCGGTTTCTGCCAGGGCACCGTTAAGCTCCAACAATGGTACGTCGGCCGTTGCCGACGGAGGCCAACGGAGGTATGCATAGAACCGCTTCGGCATAAAGGCCGCTTCGGATGTCAGATCTTCTTCGTACACTAGCCGTTTTCTGGATTTCCCCTCAGAGCACGCATAACGCAGCACCTTGTATTAGTCATAGTTAGATCCATGAATGCGAAACGCTTTCCACGTCCTGTTCCGATGCTTAAGCATCTGACGTAACTCGCGGTCGAGCCNAAGCGTTTAGGAGGAGAGAAGTCTGCCACCAATCTAAGGATGCCGTCCCGGAAGGTGGTCCAGGCAAGGTCTACTCCCTCAGTCCCTCCCTAGGGGAGGGACTGCGCCGCGATCCTCATGCCATCGTAGTCCGCTTTCCAGACATTGATTCCGGAATGTTGTCGGGAGCGTTACGGAGCTCCACATCGCCAATGCACCAACAGGGTCGAGTGATCGCTCAAACCGAGTGGCGGAAGGTGGTCAATGCCGTCGACGCCCGATGCTCGAGGGGATAACACCAGATCCAGACCCGACTTGGCTGAGTCTTTGATCCTGATGGGCTCGCGGGAATGCTGATGCAGGGTCAACTGGTTCGCTACTTCGAGGAGGTCCCTGGAGAATTGGTCCGCTCNTTAGGAGCGCATTGAAATCACCCAAAATCAAACAGTGACCGTCGCCAGCCCATCGCTGCATATCGTCCAGGATGGCCAACGTGGCTTCAATCCCACCTTGAAGTCTTGAAGTATTTCACGGGTTCGAGGCTAAGCCCAATGCTCCCGGATCTTGGTTTATCGTTTTTCGAATGATAGGCAGTGCCCGCTGACGAGAATTTGAGAGCATCGCTCGTTACTGAGGGTAATTGAGATGGGGATACAGGTAACGGAAAGGAAGAATCTGGAAGGGAAGAGCGGAGGGAAAGGGTGAATTATCTGCTTGCAGTGCACATTTATGCGCATCTGGATGGCGAACACATTTTTGCATGCAAGTGGGTAGGATTGTCGTGGTGCACACCATGTACAAATGCACAACAACAACAACAAAACTTGTGACTCAATGCAGTTTGAATAAATGTATTTAAAACGATAAAGCGGGGGGTGGAGAGATAGTTGGACAGATCGAGAGGGAGCAACTAATGGTATTTGGCGGTAGTGTGTTTAAGGTCAGGGAAGATATCGAGCTTGTGTTTGAACATGCTCTTTGAAGGCGCATCAACAACCTCCTGTGGGAGGCTGTTCCATAGTGGAATGATTCTATGGGTAAAGAACCAAAGACGAACTCGTGTGCGGGGCCGAGGCTTAAACAGCTTTTTGCTGTGTCCACGAAGAGTATCTAAGTTACGTGGGGTAAAAAGCTGGTTAGCTATGTCCGTGGAAAATAAATGGTAAAGAGGAAGAATGTCCGCTCTAATGCGGCGGGTTTCTAAGGGGTAAAGGTTCAGTATGGTGAGACGGATGGGGTATAGAACATGGAAAAGACCAGAGACTAGTTTCGTGGCTGCTCGCTGAACTCGTTCGAGGGAGTTACGATCACCCACAAGCCCAGAGCACGCGATTTGGGCTCCGTATTCTAATAGTGGTCTTGCATAAATGCCATATAAGAGTTGAAACTCTTCTTTATCAAAGCAAGGGAAAGAGCGCTTGATAAAGTTGAGTACTCCAAAGGCCTTTTTTCGGGCTTTTTGGTGATGGCAAGAAAAAGATAAAGAGGTGGATAACCAGAAGCCAAGGATCTTATGCTTGAAGGTGTGCGCGCAGCCCCTGCCAAAGGACATGCTTACACATTTGTCAGTAAACGCGGTGGTGGAGTCTTAATCTATGCAAAGGAAACCATTCCCATATCATGCCTTCAGCATCCCATCCTAGATGGTATAGATGACTCCATACGGCTAAGCGTCGAGGCTGAGGCCAGGAGCTACTGTTAGGTTGTATTTATCGTCCACCCAGACAAAGAACCAACAGCTTCATGCCTATTATTATTGCTCTGAATTTATTGAGCAACCTCCCTACTGAACCTAAGCTAATAGCTAATGATTTCAATGCACCAGAAATATGCTGGGCTGCACTTAAGGCCCCACGTCATCTTAGGCAGTTTTTAAATTGCATTGAACGTGGAGGTTGGACTCAGCATGTTGTGACCCCAACGAGACTAGGTAACACTTTGGACCTAATTATTTATTTAAGATTAACGGATACCCGTAGATTGGTACAGAGTAATCTACCCGGGTGTGATCATGCCAGAGTCCACTTTCGTTTTTCTGTACCATCGAGT